AAGGGTTCATTCAGATACAGCAGAGCTTGGCGGACAGCAAAGTCCAAGCGCAGCAGAAAAAGTGTTTTCCTCGGTAGGAATTAACTCGCCAGCCGTTCCCTTTGGGTTGTGCTGTGATAAATGAGGCTAACACCACCTTTCCTGGTAATCACCAGGTTAACAGGAAGCTACGAGGCGGGTGCAGGAGTCACCCCTTGCTCCGGGCAGCGGGCTCCCCTTCGGCTATAAATCACCAGGAACAAATGGGCTCCGAGTTCAGCAAAGACAGAGAAAGACGGGTCCCTCGGCTGAGATTGCCGACTGGAGCTCCAAACTCAATGGGGGAGATTTGCTTGTTTGGTTTCCTCTCTGACGTCCTGCCTTTCTTCTGGTTTTTACCTCTGCCCTCCAAAACCAGGCCCTATCACTGTGTCATCTTTACTCTATTTTTGTCAAATCTAGACTGCCACTCTATGCCTTTCTCCTGTCTCTGACAAACCCTAACTTTATATCTTTACTCTGCCTCTGTCAAATTCAAACCCTATCACTGTATCATACAGACCGCGTTCTCTGTAGCTGTAAACAATTCTTCCTCTGTGTATGAGGCAGGGCAAGGTGGGCAAGCATACAGATGCAGAGTTGTTTGTTCTGCTCCACAGTCGCACACGGTGGAGTCATGCCAGCTCCAGACTTCTAAGTCGTGCCAACTAGAACGTTAAGATCATTTGGGGAGGCCCCACTCTCGATCCCGCCTGTGTCACAAATACTTCCTCTTCATCCTGGAAAGAAGTGACAAGTGGAGTGCCGCAGGGTTCCCTCCTGGGCCCAGTCCTGTTCAACATCTTCATTAATGGCTTAGATGAAGGGCTAGAAGGCAGGATCATCAAGTTTGCAGACGACACCAAATTGGGAGGGAGAGCCAAGACTCCAGAGGACAGGAGCAGGATTCAAAACGATCTTGACAGATTAGAGAGATGAAGGGCCAAAACTAACAAAATGAAGTTCAACAGGGACAAATGCAAGAGACTCCACTTTGGCAGGAAAAACGAAATGCAAAGATACAGAATGGGGGACGATGCCTGGCTCGAGAGCAGTACGCGTCAAAAAGATCTTGGAGTCCTCGTGGACAGCAAGTTAAACATGAGCCAGGAATGTGATGTGGCAGCAAAAAAAGCCAATGGGATTGTGGCCTGCATCAATAGGAGCATAGTGTCGAGATCTAGAGAAGTAATGCTCCCCATGCTCTATTCTGCTTTGGTTAGACGACATCTGGAATATTGTGTCCAATTCTGGGCACCACAATTGAAGAGAGATATTGACAAGCTGGAATGTGTCCAGAGGAGGACGACTAAAATGATCAAGGGTCTGAAGAACAAGCCCTATGAGAAGCAGCTTAAGGAGCTGGGCATGTTTAGCCTGAAGAAGAGAAGGCTGAGAGGGGATATGATGAGAGTCATGTATAAATATGTAAGACGATGCCACAGGGAGGAGGGAGCAAGCTTGTTTTCTGCTTCCCTGGAGACTAGGACACGAAACAATGGCTTCAAACTACAAGAAAGGAGATTCCATCTGAACAAGAGGAAGAACTTCCTGACTGTGAGAGCTGTTCAGCAGTGGAACTCTCTGCCCCAGAGTGTGGTGGAGGCTCCTTCTTTGGAAGCTTTTAAACAGAGGCTGGATGGCCATCTGTCAGGGGTGATTTGAATGCAATATTCCTGCTTCTTGGCAGGGGGTTGGACTGGATGGCCCATGAGGTCTCTTCCAACTCTTTTATTCTATGATTCTATAAGAAAACGGGGATGAGAGACAGGGCCTTCTCAGTGGTCGCCCCTTGGCTATGGAATGCCCTTCCCAGAGATATTAGATTGGCCCTTCTCTGTTAGCATTTTGTAGGAAGGTTAAGCCTTGGTTCTACGAGCAGGCATTTGAAAAGGCAGTGTAACAAATATTGGAACATTAAATGACTGGATGGACGAGATTGGATCTTGATTTTAACTAAGAGACGCCATGAGTTATGTAGTATTGACTCTGTAATGTTTGTATATTGATGCCATGGTTTTTAATTGTTTTAATCTGTTTTATGATGTCGAAGCACTGAATTTTGCTACTGTAAACCGCTTTGAGCTGCCCGAGGGCTGAGAAAAGCAGTACATAAATGGAGTAAATAAATAAATAAATAAATTTTGCTACGTTATCTTTTGATCTGCCAACTTTGCTTCTGAGTCTGTCCAGGGACTTCCAATTTTTATTCTTGGTTTGCCCCTGGAGGAAGACCCTCATGGGGGGGGGGGGGGATCCAATTGGGATTTCCTGATTTAGCTGCCCACATGGGCAGCTAATTGTTCTGCATGTTTTGTTCAGTGCTATGTTCATCTGCTTTGCATGAATAGACTTATGGCAAACAGTGCAGGCATACTCAGCAGTTGAGTAAGACAAGGCCAGGGCTGATGTTCCTATTAATTTTGGGTCTGCATCCCATGTGCTGGCAGTACGTTTCCGCAGGATGTTATTGTGTGCAACTACTTTGGGCTTGGTGTTCATGCAATATTTCCTAAATGTTAGTGTTCGATCTAAGGTGACACCGAGATATTCAGGATAGGAATAGTGTTTGAGCTCTTGACCTTCCCAGGTGACTTTCAATTTCTTGTTGGCTTCATGGTTGCGTAGGTGGAAAGCACATACTTGTGTTTTGGCAGGGTTAGGCTTCAGGTGGTTCTCTTTGAAGTAGCTGGAGAGATCTTTCAAGGCATTAGTAAGTTGGTTTTTGATTCTTTCAAGGTCTTTTGCTTGTGTTGTCAGGCAAGGTCATCAGCATATATAAAGTTATCTGTGAGTGGTGGCTGTGGCTCATTGTTAGTAAAGATGTTCAACAAGGTCAGTGCAAGAATGTTGCCTTGGGGTAAACCATTTTTTGTCTCCTCCATCTACTTACCCTGCCTTGAAACTCCACATATAGAAGCTGTGGTTTTCCAGCAGGGTCTGGGTAGTTTTCTGTGAAATCATAGTCCTGGGTAATATGGTTATATGAATAGGGTTACAGCCTGTGTTAAACGGGGTTAGACTCCCCCTGAAGACACAGGTTCACAGTTTGGGAGTGATCCTGGACTCTTTGCTGAGCCTGGAACCCCAGGTCTCGGTAGTGGCCGGGAGAGCTTTTGCACAATTTAAAGCTTGTGTGCCAGCTGTGCCCCTCCCTTGGGAAGTCTGACTTGACCATGGTGGTCCACACTCTGGTTACATCCCAAATAGACTACTGCAACGCTCTCTACATGGAGCTGCCTTTGAAAACTTCTCAGAAGCTCCAATTAGTCCAGCGGTCGGCGGCCAGATTGTTAACTGGAGCTGCGTACAGGGAGCGTACCACTCCTCTGTTGAGCCAGCTCCACTGGCTGCCAATTAGCTTCTGGGCACAATTCAAAGTGCTGGTTTTAACCTTTATAGCCCTGAATGGTTCTGGCCCAGATTACCTGTCCAAACGTATCTCCTGCTACAAACCATCACAAAGCTTAAGATCATCAGGAGAGGCCCTGCTCTCGATCCCACCACTCTCGCAAACACGGTTGGTGTGGATGAGAGACATGGCTTTCTTGGCAGTGGCCCCCCAATCTGTGGAACTCTCTCCCTAAGGACATCAGGTTGGCCACCTTCCTCCTGTCCTTTAGAAGACAACTGAAGACCTGGCTCTGGAGCCAGGCGTTCGATTAGAGGCCAGCGGCAATAGGAAAGGGAAATTTGGATTTTGCGAAATGGATTCTCCCAGCTCGGCTTGGTTTTTATTGGCACGTTAATCTATTAATTTATTGTTAAATTTTACTGATGTTGTATAATGTTTTAAAATGATTTTATTGTGAATTGTAATTTTTATGGTATTTATGCTGTTAGCATCCTCTGACGCTCATGTGGGGCCGTACTGAGTCCCCCTTGTGGGGAGAAGGGCGGGATAGAAATATATGAAATAAATAAATAAATAAATATGGTAGACTTTCTGCAGCATTTTTTTATGTTGCACCATGTCATAGGCTGCCGTAAGGTCCACAAAAACTGTTCCCGTAATGCAAACTTTCTCATATCCTTCCTTGATATAAGGATAAAATGCTATCTCTGAGTCATCTTTGTGTTGGGGGTAATTTCCAAAAAGGAAAACTGATTCGAAATTGGTGCAGCAGCAACAACAAACCAGAAGCTTTTAGTGCCAGCAGTAGAGCAATTGAGCTTAAGCAATTCAGGAGCAGAGCCAAGCTTTTAAAAAGTTACAAAACACTTTATTCAAAGAACTATATACCTAGATAGGAAAGTAAACAGGGTCTAGCTAGCTAGCTTGCTAACTCACAGCAGACATCTTGTCTCTCTGATTGGGGGAGAAGAAGAAAATGAAAAACTCGGAGTCTTGCCATATGCTATGAATAGAAAGAGGCGTGTTCCTAAGAAGCAAGATGATAGGACAGACAAGAGAGAGAGAGAGAGAGAGAGAGAGGCAGACAGAGAGGCCAATAAAGAAATGGCTTTTCCCTGCCAGGTAACTCATCTGCATGTCTAAGTCCTTGAGGAGGACAACAAACCTGTGCAGGATGTGGTTGAGTTCCTACCCTTTGCCCTCTCTCTGCCAAATCCAAACCCTACCTACCCCTGAGAGATAGGAGCCTGCGATTGGCTGTCTTCAGCGTGGGTGACCCTTCCCCTCCCTTCACCCCTGGCCACTACATGCTTCAGCCTGGTAGCCGCATGTGTGGCTGCAGCAACGCTTCCCTCCAAGTGCTAGTCACTTTGCAGTGCTAGTGATGCGGCAAAGAGTCCCAGGTGCTGGGACTGCTTAACGCGCTAAAACTACAGACACATTAAATTGGCGAAAGAGGTGCACTCTGCTCTCATTACGAGAAGAGGTCCCATTACGAGCCCAAACAGCTTTGTCAAGCAATTTCCAAATGAATGCTATTCGAAGCGCTTGGAAATGCAATCTCTCTCTTACAGCCGCTTGTAAAGCCGGTCCCTCAAGAGCCGGTTGGCAGCTAAGCTGGGCTCACCTTGTCTTTTGAAACCTTGTGTGAGAACGGGCACGATCCGTCGGTCTTCTTGCACGTGCCTCGAAGGAACCTGTTGAGCGGAGAAGAAAGAAAGAGAGCTTAGAAGGGGGTTCTGTGGAGAAATGGTTATCTGTAAATGTCACATAGCCATAAAAGCTAGAAGGGACCATTTAGCCTGACATGCAGGATTTAACAAATTCAGCACTTCAGGAGGTGACTATCCAAGACACTTATTTACTTAAATGGTTTCGGTCCATCTTACCTATCCGAACATATCTCTCCTTACGAGCCATTTAGAACGCTAAGATCTTCTGGGGAGGCCCTGCTCTCGCTCCCACCTTCCTCACAGATGCGTCCGGTGGGGACGAGAGACAGGACCTTCTCAGCGGTGGCCCCTCGACTGTGGAACACCCTGCCCAGAGAGATAAGATCGGCCCCCTCCCTCCTGTCCTTCCGAAGAATGCTGAAAACCTGGCTTTTTGAACAGGCCTTCCCAAATATGGCATAGATATACGATATTATGGACAACTGATGACTCAACTGGACAATGATTTGAGATGGAGACGGTTTGATAATGTTTTTAAATGTTGTGTATGATTTTTATGTTTTTACAGTTTTGTTAGCATTTTAAAGTATTAATTATTGTTTTATTTTGTTGTAACTGTTCTGGCATCAAATTGTTGCCTATTGTTAACCACTCCAAGTCTTCCTTGGGCTGAGAGGGGCGGAATATAAATGTAGCAAATAAATAAATAAATAGGTAACCCTTCATTGTCCGAGTAGAATTGTCTTCCAAGATTGGTGTCTATTTCCCCCAAACTCCATCTGTGTTTATATTTGGGCATATTGTGTATTCGTGCCAAGTTTGGTCCAGATCTATCATTGTTTGAGTCCATAGTGCTCCGTAGCTGTAGGTGAACTACAATTCCAAAATTCAAAGTCAATGCTCACCAAACCCTTTCAGTATTTTCTGTTGGTCATGGGAGTTCTGTGTGCCATGTTTGGTTCAATTCCATCGTTGGTGGAGTTCAGAATGCTCTTTGATTATAGGTGAACTATAAATCCCAACAACTACAACTCCCAAATGACAAAATCTTAATTTTTTGAGTGATGGTCACTCCTTGTGTAGTGAGACGTTTTGTTGCCAAATTTGGTGTGATTTCATTCATTGGTTCTTTTGTTTTTAAGATACTCATTACGCACGGAGCATTTTTATATATATAGATAAATAACTATGTGAATGAAACAAAGTTTGTGTACACTGTTCCATCAAAAAGCAAGAGTGTCATGCTCACAGCCAACCAAGTGGCCAATTTCAGAGTTGAGACTCTTATGGATTTCAGAATTCCGGATAACGAACATACAATCATTGTTGGTCCAAGGCTCCAGTCAATAATATCTGGCAGACTGTAAAACTGAGACAGCCATGACAGTGACAAAAAGAATAACAATGAGCCAGAAAATTGAAAATGGAAGGATACCTTGTGCAGACCGCTATTTTTTCCGGGTCATGGATGTAGGGGCAATTCTCACCGCGGTTGCATTTTCCAAAGCGGTTGTAATACATGCAATATTCTTTCTTCTTCTCTTTCTTCTGCTTGGCCTGGCGAATGATAGCCAAGCTGCGCTGGACGGCTCGGCTAAAAGAAGGAAGAGGCACAAACAGGTCATCTCAGCTTCAACAAACTTGGTCAAATGTTACTGAAACATAGGAGTGAAATATCAGCCTAAGTAGGAACTCATAGTAGGATGAGCCCTGAATCTGAGCAGGAAGGCAAACATACAACAAGTAGTAACTTTGGCCAAAGGAACTTCTGAGCCCAGCGACAACTTCGGTCCAATCTACTCAACGCACTCAGGGAGATAGGTAAAGTCTATTCCAAGCACCAGCGTTGTATAGAACTATAGAGTTACGCAGACAAAGTGTGCATGATCACTATCTAATGTATACATGATCATCCTTCTGGGGGTCTATCTGACCAGCACATAAGTCAGAGCTTATTTGCTGCTTGAGAGGATGTTCCCAGGATCTGCCACTGGACATAGGCAGAACATCAGGTTGGTGGCCTTGAGGTTACAGCATTTCCTAGCAAAACATAAATGACAGAGCCCAGCAAACAGCATAGCCCAGGAGATGTCAGCTACTGTCAAAATAGGGTATACTAGGCTCACTAAAACAAATCAGCATACAGCTGAATCTCCACCTTATTTTACGCCAAGACTATGAACATTGACAGGAGCAGGTCCTGGGTGCCAATTTACTTCCCCTTCAGATTCCGGACCCTTTTCCTCTTTCTGGATTCAGTGAGGTTTCGTTGTACTAAGGCAAATGAAGGGAGAGACCGAGGGGAACAGAAACATGCAGTAAAATGGAAGAGGAAGAAGAACCAGTCTCACTGACATCTGCATGATCTCCTCCTCTTCCTATGTGTTGCATGCTCCTGTTCCTCCCAGTACATACTTGTCTTCTTTTGCTTGTGTGAGACAGAGATTCATGGAATACAGGAAGAGGAGGATGAGATGCATCTGTTGCACAAGTGGATCTTGCACTCTAGGACAGGAAAAGCCCTCTGACTTTAAACACCACACGTTGAATAGGAAAACAATCTTTTTACTGAAGATAAACCAAAAGCAGCAAGTAAAAAGCACTTTAAAGAAATAGGTAAATCTGACTAGGTAAGAAGGTAAGCAGGAACAAAACAGTCCAGGGTAAAGTTCAGCAAAGTCAATGAAAACAAAGTCCACACTTCTCTAATATAATCCAGAAAACCAGAAAACATTAATCCAAGACATGAATATGCAATCATAAAATCCAAGAATCAAAACCATGAAACAAGAAATACTTAAGCATGAATCTTTCAAGCTAGGATTCCATGAACAAGGACAAGAACTTAATTTGATCCCAAATGATGCTTCATCTGACTATATTTCCCATACTTTGAACTTTTATCCCCTCGTCAAGGTATCCCAAGTACTCAGAAATTGGTTTCGCTTTAATTGAGATTCCCTTATCTTTTTCTGTCGGATTCTGGCAGACCGCCGAAGACACTGTTTGGCTTGTCTATTTTGACTAATTTCCTCCTGTCTATCTATTTGTTCATTAACTTCTGCAGGTGCAAAGTTGTTTTCAAGCCCCAAATCCTGGGATCTCTCTGGTAACAATTCAGGGAGTACACCATCATCCCCACACCCTTCATTCTCATGGGAAACTACATTTTGAACAGGGATCTCCTGGTCATTATCCGCATTAATATCTTTGACCAAACCATTGCCATCTTGAAACTCATTGCCATCTCTTCCCACATCCAAAGCACTATGATCCTGAAACACAATCACAGGCTGAGCTCCAACAGTGGAGTGGCCTGCCTGCCTGGCTCCTCCTCTCACCTGAATGCCTGATCTTTGTTTTGCCTGGGCAAAAGTGCAGGGACAACTGTGCCTTGAGAACCCCAAACCCCACATATTGATCATTCCGCAAGGGTGCAAAACTTATGGAAAACAATGAGGGAGTTGTAGGAACTTGGCTGGTCCACTCCTTTCGCAGTGCCCTTTGGGAGGAAAACCCACCTTGCAATGTAGCGGCTTGGGGTGGACCGGCTTGGGCAGCTGGGCGAAGAGAAGCCGAAGGGGCTGTTTGCAGAATCTGGCCTCCCTGTTCAAGAAGAGGAAAGAGAAACATATAAGATGCTAATCAGAAACTCATTCCAAGGTGGAATTTGCAAGTTTGTTCTCCAATCGATTTAATATACAGGGAATGCACTGTGTTAGGTTCACAAAGGTAAATAAGCTCTTTCCCAGCAGGTGAGGAGGGGCTGCTGACAATGAGGATGCTTCCCGCTCAAAGCAAGCAAACAAGTTAAAGGAAGGAACTGTCACACGCCTGGCTGGGAAGCAAAATAAATGAGACTCGCATCATGGAAACATACCGCCTAGCCCTCTCCTTGGTGTCGAGTTTGGCAAAAGCCCTCCAGAATGATAACACTCAAGATACAGCAAAAGTATTGTTCTGTGACTTAATAATTTAGGGAGTTTATATCCCAACTATAGGGGTGAAAGAAGCAAAACACCAGAACTTGGTCAAAACCACAATGAGAAAAGAAGCAACTTTTGGAGACATATACAGTATTTATTTATCGTGTCAGGAGCAGACCAAAAATTTGCGTTGCATTTTTTAACAAACAAACAAACAAAATTCGCCGTCCTAGGCTGATAAATGCGGTATACAAATGAAGTAAATAAATAAATAAATAAATAAATAAATAAATAAATAAAATTCAAAGTTTGCAAGCTTGGTAGTTGATTAAATGTCCTTTGAGAAGTATCTGGCCACTTGGAGTGCCTCTGGTGTTGCCGCAAGGAGGTCCTCCATTGTGCATGTGGTAGGGCTCAGGTTGCATCGCAGCAGGTGGTCAGTGGTTTGCTCTTCTCCACACTCGCATGTCGTGGATTCCACTTTGTGGCCCCATTTCCTAAGGTTGGCTCTACATCTCGTGGTGCCAGAGCGCAGCCTGTTCAGCGCCTTCCAAGTCGCCCAGTCTTCTGTGTGCCCAGGGGGGAGTCTCTCATTTGGGATCAGCCATTGGTTGAGGTTCTGGGTTTGAGCCTGCCACTTTTGGACTCTCGCTTGCTGAGTGTTCCAGCAAGTGTCTCTGTAGATCTTAGAAAACTATTTCTTGATTTAAGTCGTTGATGTGCTGGCTGATACCCAAACAGGGGATGAGCTGGAGATGTCACTGCCTTGGTCCTTTCACTATTAGTTGCTACTTCCCGGCGGATGTCAGGTGGTGCAAGACTGGCTAAGCAATATAATTTCCCCAGCAGTGTGGGGTGCAGACATCCCGTGATAATGCGGCATCTCTCATTAAGAGCCACGTCTACTGTTTTAGTGTGGTGAGATGTATTCCACACTGGGCATGCTCCTAATCCATCTAAAATACAGACATGTGCTTTTCACCTTAAAAACAGACAAGCATCCCAAGTTCTGAGGATTACCTGGGAAGGAATCCCACTGGAGCATTGCAGCGCACCCAAATACCTGGGAGTCACTGTGGACCGTGCTCTTACCTACAAGAAGCACTGCCTGAACATCAAGCAAAAAGTGGGTGCTAGAAACAATATCATACGAAAGCTGACCGGCACAACCTGGGGATCACAACCAGACACAGTAAAGACATCTGCCCTTGCGCTATGCTACTCTGCTGCTGAGTATGACAAAGATGATGGTGATGATACTGGTGATTATTATTTCCAACTTTCTCCCAATGTGGAACTTGAAGTGCCTTATTCAAGTTAAAAATTAATAGCTCATAAAAGTTAAAAAGTGATTAAACCTGGGATAAGGCCTGGCGGAAGCACCTGAAATGCCTACAATGGGCTCATTTCTTGACAAAAGAGGGTTCCATAGGAGTGTTCCTTCCCTATATATAAGGCTGAAATGGATGCCGGAGGGATCCAGGTGGGGAAAGCGTCATTACGTCGCTCACCTGCCAACTTGTGCATGTTCCTGTGTGAATGAGTGGAATTTGATAGCGTGTCAATGAGCGCTCCCTTTGCCTGGCTTGTCATATGGCCCACTGGTGACGCCACTGCGCCATCTGTTCCATGTGCAAATAAAGCGTCAGTGCGGTGGCGTCCCAAAAGGCCGTCCATCAGAGGCATCAGCCGAACCCAGCCACGGAGCAAAAAAGAAAGCAGTCACTGCAAAACATCTGGAGGGATCAAGCTAAAAAGCATAGAATCCCAGTCTTGAAAGAGACCCCAAGGGCCATCCAGTCCAACCCCCTTCTGCCTATATAGGAAGATACAATCCAAACCCTTCCAAACTTCCCTCAATCTGGACACTATACTCCTATTGATGCAGCCTAGAGCTGAATTGGCTTTTTAAGCTGCTGCATCACTGTTGAGTCACGTTCAACATGTAGTTTACTAAGACTCCTAGTACCCCACCTCCTCCAAGATGAACTGAACCACCTAAACTGGGCTCTACAAGCCAATGAAGACGCCACCACAGACATCAGAAGAGCTGCAAGACCAAGAACAAGCCACGAGAGTCAAGAGAAAGATCCACCCAGAGGAAAAGTGTTCTTGTCATACATCAGAGGAACCACTGACCACACAGGGAAGCTGATGAAGAAACATAACATATAAATTATCTAAAGACTCAGTAAGAAAAACCAACCAATGCCACGTTCAGCAAAGGACAAGAGGGATCCTCTCACCTCTGCAGGAGTCTACCGTATTCTATGCAGCTGTGGACAAGTCTACATAGGGACCACCAAATGCAGCACTGCCCAAACACGAATCAAGGAACATGTAAGGCACTGCAGACTACTCCAACCAGAGAAGTCAGCCATAGCAGAGCACACGATGAACCAACCTGGACACAGCATATTATTTGAAACACAGAAATGCTGGACCACTCTCACAACCACCATGTCAGGCTACACAAAGAAGCCAATGAAATCCACAAGCATGTGGATAATTTCAACAGAAAGGAGGAAACCATGAAAATAAACAAGATCTGGATACCAGTATTTTAAAAAGCTCTAAAATCTGGACAGTAAAAAAAAAGAACAACACTCAAAAAGCAGGGGAATTCCAGACAAGAATCAATCAGGGGTAGCTGACACCTTCCAACTAAGGATTCCCCAAGACAGGAAGCAGCTATGCTTTGAAGCTATAAGGCCATTCAATGGTAATCAAGATGAACATGCTGCGGCTCCTCCATGATGACATGATGGCAACAGTCTTGGACAGCAATGGCTCCCAAAGTGACCCATTTAAGGTGACCAGTTGCAACATCCACACCTGCCTCAAGCAGACAAGAGTGCTTTCTCCCATCCTGGACATCATTCCACAGATATATAAACCTCACTTGCCTAGTTTCCAACAGATCTCACAACCTCTGAGGATGCCTGCCATAGATGTGGGTGAAACATCAGGAAAGAATGCTTCTGGAACATGGCCATGCAGCCTGGAAAACTCACAGCAACCCAGTGATTGTGAAAGCCTTTGACAACACCTTTTTGCATTGACTGTGTAGTGCATTTCTCCGTATTGTAGTTCAATTTGTTGGTTTTGTCCCAACTTGTACTAGGACTCAGGCCGAAACAATCAATACACTTTCTTAAATCACAGAATCTGTTGGGAGCTCAGGGACTTCCAGGAACAAGAGCAGGGCTTGAAGCTTCCTAACTAGAGGAGAACACCATGCCACAAATAAAATCCATGATGAGTACAAGAATTAAAGCTCTCAATTCCCTGCATGGCCAAGAACACCTCTTCAGCTTCTACACCTTGAGAAATGAAGAGAATTATAGTCATTCCTCCCTACCGCCTGGTTTAGAAAAATGAACGGCTAGATTTTTTAGCTAATGAAATAGAAACCAATAGATAGATCAATAGCTGGAAGCCAAACAGCTTCATAGCAGGGCTTTCATTTTTGTAGGGGAAAAAAACCAATCTAATTATTTACCTCTGCTCGAATCACATATGATTCTGCACTCCAGATTGGTTAAGGCAAGCTGTTGCTTTTGGCTGAATGACCCTCTTGAAGTGAGAGTCTGGGGGTGGGGGTGGGCATGGGAGGCAATGACATCTGGTTTGGGACACTTTCAGCCTCCTGCATGGACCTCCTTGGTCTCTCTGGGCCTTCCAACAGTCCAGACGCAAAACCCTTGGCAGATCTGGCTCTCTGTCTGTCTGCAATTTAATAATGCACAAGCAAGACCAAAAACAAGCCACAAGGATAAAGAGCCATAAAGAGGGAAGGTGTTCTTGCCATACATCAAGTGAATCACTGACCATATAGAGCAGTGCCAGAAATACAGCTTAATGGTGTAACATTAGAAAATGTTAGCCATTTCCGCTCCCTTGGCAGCCACCTCTCCACAAAAGTCAACATTGACACTGAAATACAACACCGCCTGAGCTCTGCGAGTGCAGCATTCTCCCGAATGAAGCAGAGAGTTTTTGAGGAGCAGGACATCAGTTGGGAGACCAAGGTGCTTGTTTATAAACCCTGCTTTACGCCTGCAAAACGTGGACTGTCTACCGACGTCACATGTAACTCCTGGAACGATTCCATCAGCGCTGCCTCCAAAAAAATCATACAAATCTCTTGGGAAGACAGGCGGACAAATGTCAGCATCCTGGAAGAAGCAAAGACCACCAGCACTGAAGCGATGCCCCTTTGCCATCAAATCCGCTGGACCGGCCACGATGTCCGAATGCTCTACTCCGAACTCAAGAACGAAAAATGGAATGTTGTTGGGCAGGAAAAGAGATTTAAAAATGGCCTCAAAGCCAACCTTAAAAACTCTGGCATAGACACCAAGAACTGGGAAGCCCCGGCCCTTGAGCACTCCAACTGAAGGTCAGCTGTGACCAGCAGTGCTATAGAATTGGAAGAAGCACGAATGGAGGGTGAAAGAGAGAAATGTGACAAGAGGAAGGCACATCAAGCCAACCCCGACCAGGACCACCTTCTGTCTGGAAACCAATGCCCTCACTGCAGGAGAAGATGCAGATCAAGAATAGGTCTCCACAGTCACCTACGGACCCACCGCCAGAACAATGATCTTGGAAGACAATCCTACTCAGACAATGAGGGATTTGGGTTGGAGTAGGTTTTTTTGGGCTATATGGCCATGT